TCCTCTGATGCTGCTTGGCCTGCTGTGTTCATCCAGCTCTACACCTTGTTATCTCAGATTCTCCAGCATCTGCAGTTCCTACTATCTCTGGTGAAGAAGGCATTTGGCTTGCTGGCCTTCATCGGTCGAGGCACTGAGTATAGGAGTTAGGATGTTATGTTACAGTTGTATAAGTCGTTGGTGAGGCTTTACTTGGAGTATTGTGCACAGTTTTAGTCACCCTGTTATAGGAAAGACACAGTTAAACTAGAAAGTGTCCAAAGAAGATTTACAAGGATGTTGCCAGGACTAGCAGACCTGGGTTATGGGGACAGGTTGGCCTGGAGGTGGCTCAGTAGTTAGCACAGTTGCCTCACAGCGCCAGGTTCAATTCCAGCCTCCGGCCACTGTGTGTGCGGAGTTTGCACATTCTCCCCTTATCAGCGTGGGTTTCGTCTAGGTGTTCTGCTTTCCTCCCACAGGCCAAAGATATGCGGGTTAGGTGGATTGGCCATGCTAAATTGCCCAGAGTGTCCAGAGATATATAGGTTGTGGATTAACCATGGAAAATGCAGGGTTACAGGGTCAGTGTAGGCAGGCAGGTCTGGATGGGATGGTCTTCGGAGAGTCAGCATGGACTTTTTGAGCTGAATGGCCTGTTTCAACACTGTAGGGATTCTATGATAATGATGATAGGATAGGACTTTATTCCTTGGAACTTAGGAGATATGAGGAGTGACCTTATTGATGTATATAAAATCATGAGGTGCATAGATAGGATGAATGCTTATAGTCTTTTTCCCAGGGATGGGGAATTGAAAACTAGAGGGCATAGGTTTAGGGTGAGAGGGAATAGATTTAAGAAGGACCTGAGGGGCAACTTCTTCACACAGAGAGTGGTGCATGTATGGAATGGGCTGCCGGAGATAGTGGTTGAGGCAGGAACAATAGCAACATTTAAAAAACATTTGGACAGGTACATGAATGAGAAGGGTTCAGAGGACTTTGGACAAAATACAGGCAATTGGAACTAGCTGAGTGGGCACCACGGACCAATTTGGGCCAAAGGGTCTATTTCCATGCTGTATTACTCTATGACAGCCCTGGTTACATGCTGCAGACATAAAATCTAACTCCATTGAGAATCTAAAAGTTAGGTAAATTATTTGCAATTGACTTTGATAAAGAACTGGCCCACAATGTTGTTTGACCTCAGTGACACTGAGGAAAGGATGAGGACATTGGTGGGGAAAGACTCCCTAAACCTGGGCTATCTCCTCCACAACTGAGTTGACCAAATAAAGAGATAAATCAATAGAAATGGGCAGCAATGAATTACGACTTCATACAGTTCTAACAATTACAGATAGAAGCTTGTCAAATTCTTGCTTAACCTTTCTAAAAGTCGTGATAGTCTAGGAGGGCAACACCTGGCTGTGGTATGCTTTGCTAAACAATAATTACAAAGATGTTGAACCCATTATAATTCAGAAGTAGCATACCATGATATGAATACCACAAACCCTCCAGTGCTTCATACCTGCCACTTCTTAATCTTGTTCCAGAGCTGCTTAAACTCCATCAAATTAAGCTTTCCAGATCCATCCGTCTGCAGTCAACAACATTAAGAAAGACAATACGAGATAATACAAGATGGTAATAGTCCAGCAAGATAATAATGAGATCATTCATTCTTTGACCTGTGATGGGTCAATACCAATATTACACTCAAATCAATGTATATTGTTCACCAGAAAATTGACTCTGCAGCCTGCAATCATCAGCAGTTCCTTTACTTTTGCTGTTGTATTTAATTTGTAAGTATGAAAACAATATAATTAGATAATAGCAGGAAGCTTTACTTTGTTTCACCAAGTCAAAGACTATTCCCCATGTATGTGACAAATTGAAAGTGTCAGCATCATTCCAAAATAATGAGTTAATCAGACCCTTATCTGAATTCCTCACCATGAGGAAGCTATTATTGCGCTTTACAAGAGATCAGGAATTTATTGTGCAAGGAAAATGTAAAGAATTTGGCTTTGGTTTCTGTGGAAAAGAGGAAGCCACATGGTGACCTGACTGACGTTTGCAGGATTATTGATAGAACTGACAAAGCTGACTTTGTTTTCGATGGTAAAGATTTCACATGTCAGTGGGTGCAAGTCTAAATAAATTTTCAGTGAGAAGAAATATGTCTGCTGCAAATTTAATTGGGGCTTTTTCAGCTCTAACACTGTAACATGGTCAAGAATGTCATTCACACTCCCTGAATCTCAACGAAGTGACAGTGAGAGAAGCCCCAAGAAAATGCTCAACAATTTAAAGAGACAAAGAAGTTGTGAAATAAGTAGCCAGGGAAGGTCATTGAAGCCAATTGTTAAAAGTAGGTTTAAAGGACAATGGATAATGTTCTGGAGAGAAATCCAATTACAAAGGTAGATTGATCAAGTTGAATTATTTCAGGGGATTTGTGATATTCTGTCTGCTCTTGTTCCTAAAAGGTTTAATGAACATTCGCACATTGAAAATTTTAACTTTACTATTTCAGGTCACTGCATTATCATTAGAAAGTGTATCTCACAAGTACATTTTCCATAATTGTTGGTGGTCTTCAGTAAAGTTAAATCTTAGCAAATTTTAGGGAGAAAAGTTGTTTTAGCGAAAACACAACAAACAGAAACAAAGATAACGATAAACTTGATTCACTTTTCTGATTCGAATACAAACTGAACCTAGACTTGGGTCTGTGCTGAGTTAACTGATCACAAACAAGGATTGAAATTAGTTACAATCAACATTAGTTCCCAGCACTGGCAGATGGAAATTGGTCGAGTTTCACTTTCTCAATTGCCACTCAGCAGTTCTGCAGTAAGTGCACGAACATGGAAATTAGGTGAGGACTGCTTTGTGTTCTGCTGTGATACGCCCCACAGTTGACCAATTTATCAAGATTCATAAATGAATATCAGCCACTTGGCAAGGGACTGAAGACTAGTCAGTGCCTATTGAAGCATGACCCAATGCAAGTAAGCTCCATTAGATTGGAAGAGGAGAAAACAAGAAAAACAGAGGGAAACCAACAAAAAAAAATGATGTGGATACATAAGCTAAATCCAAAATTTTGATTATCACACAATAAAGAGGTCAGCTGATCCCTTCCCCAACAAAAAGGAGCTGAGGACAACTGTGCCATTCTTCCTGTTGTTCAGCCTGGAAAATAACTGTCTCAATATTGGCCAGCAATATAACACAGAATCTTTGCAGATTTCAGACTGATAATGCACTGTTCCCTTAAGCCTTTGGAGGATTAATGACACACCTCTAACCAACTTGCATCATTGAATCCTCAAGGTATTTCGTTGAGTCGCAAGTGAAGGCAAACATGCCTTAGACAATTGTTTGCAAAAAAAACTGAGAAGAAGAAAGGATACATCCATGAGGGCAACCATACTACGACAAGACTCAAGGCCGAACCCTTCAGTTTTCATTTTGTCTGTGAGGAAAAAGAACATCTAATATTCATAATCAATGCATTATATATCAAAGAAATAAACATTTTAAATCTTATGGAAAGGAATGAAGGGGAAAAGGAACAGGGTACGCTAGGAGTGCAAAACTCCTCTCATAAAGTCTGGAGCATCCCACTGTCCATATGTATTATACTGACATTCCCACGTAGTCTGGAGGTCCTCTTAATAGTGCACCTTGGACCATCAACACTTTGAGGAGTCCCTTTTCTTTTAATTAACCTATTCAGTCATAAAATGACACATCTCTCGGGCAGGTAGGAATTGAACCCAGATCTTTTGGCTCAGAGGCAAGGTACTACCAATGTTCCATAGATCCTTTGAGGGATCTAAATTGTTCATTGTTTTATTTTTTCTCCTGATCAAACTGTTCAGTGATGGCAAAAATATAAAGAAGGAAGTGAATTTATACAGTCCTTAACACAATCTTAGGACATCCCAAACAATTTTACCGTGAATTAAGTAATTTGGAATGTTGTAATTGTAATAATCTTTCAAAAGGCCACCACAGACAAGGAGATCCAACACTGGATCAGGTGCATCAGCTCAGTGTTCTACAAACTGAAGCCGTGACTGTTGGCAAACAGTGACCTCTGCAAGCCAACACAGGTCCCAGTGTATAAAGGAGTTGGCATCACCACATTCCTGTATTACACAGAAAATAGACTGTGTATCAGTCACAAATATGACCACTATAAGACCCTAAGAAGTAAGAGCAGATTTAGACCATTTGACCCATATGATTTGCTGCACTATTTGATCATGGCTGATATGTTCCCATTTTCCTGTCTTCCTCCATTACCCTTGATTCCCTTACCAATCAAAAACCTATCTATCTCTGTCTCAAATACACTCAAAGATTTGGCTTCCACAGGTCTCTGTGGCAATGAGTTCCACAGATTAACCACTCTGTGGCTGAAGGAATTTCAGTTCTCAAGGGTCATCCTCTCACTCTGAGGCTGTGCCATCAAGTTCTGATCTCTCCGAAAAATGGAAAATCTTCTCCACATCCACTCTGTCCAGGCCTCCCATTATTCTGTAGTTTCAATCAGATCCCCCTTCATGCTTTTAAACTCCATCGAATACAGACCCAGAGTTCTCAACCACTCCTCTTATGACAAGCCCTTCATCCCTGGGATCATTCTTGTCAACCTCCTCTGGACACCCTCCAAAGCTAGCATATCCTTCCTTCAAAATGGGACTCAAAACTGCTCACAATATTCCAAATGCGGTTTGACCGGAACCTCATACAGCCTCAGTAGTACATCTGTGATCTTGTATTCTAGCCTTCTTAAAATGAATGCTAACATTACATTTGTCTTCCTGACTGACAATTGATCCTGTATGTTAACCTTAGGAGAACCGTGAACTAGGACTCCCTAGTCCCTTTATGATTCAGATTTCTGAAGTCTTTCCCCTTTTAGAAAATAGTTTACACCTCTATTCTTCCTACCACAGTGCATAACCTCACACTTTCCCACATTATATTCCATCTGCCACTTCTTCGTCCCTCTCTAGCCTGTCCAAGCCTTTCTTCAGCCTGCCCGCTTCTTCAACACTACCTGTCCCTCCACCTATCTTTGTGTCATCTACAAATTTAGTAACAGTGCCCTCAGTTTTTCCATTTAGATCGTTAATGTATAACGTGAATAGTTGTGGTCTCAACATGGACCCCTGCTGAATCTCACTAGTCCCTATCTGCTATCCTGAAAAAGATCCCTTTGTCCCCACTTAAAGCCTTCTGCCAGCCAGCCAATCTTCTGTCCATGCCAGTACCCTGTTCCTAACACTATGGGCTCTTATTTAGCAGCTTACTGTGAGGCACCTGTCAAAGGCCTTCTGGAAATCCAAATAGATCATGAGCACTGGCTCTCCTTTGTATAACTTGCTCATCACTTCCTCAAAGAATTCTAATAGATTTGTCAGGCATGACCTCCCTTGATAAAGCCATGCTGACTCAGTCCTATTTTATCATGCACTTCGAAGTGCTCCGCAATATCATCCTTAATAATGGTCTCTAAAATATTACCAACGACTGAGGTGGCCTGTGATTTCCTGTCTTCTGCCTCCCTGCTATGATCAGTTTGCTCATCCTCCCTACAGCCTACTCTCATCCACACAGGGAGCAAGAATCTCAAACCTACTACCAATAAAGAAATCCCACCCGCTATAGCTCTGCCATATCCACTGGAGATCAGGCAAAATCAGCTACTGTCTAGATGGCAGAAAAACATCTGTCTGTTTTCTCAACTCTCGAATAGTCAGTATTTGGGTGGGGGAGAAAATGCTACAAAAACACTCTGAAGCTCTTCTACAAGGATTGACATTATGACTAGAAGGAGATTGTCCCCAAATGTTCAAAATATTGACAACTTTTTCATCAAACTTTCTGTCCAAATGCCTCAATGATGAGGCAGAGTGACGATGCAAAAGAAAACGAAACAAACCTCGACCTCTAAATCCCACTGCATCATGGGATATTCCGCCCCATGTGCCTAAAGCCATGTAGAAACCCATAACAGCAGTACGAGACATTGGTAAGGCCACATTTGGAGTACTATGTAGTATTTTGGTCGCCCTGCCATAGGAAGGATGTTATTAAACTGGAAAAGGTGCAAAAAGGATTTACAATTATGTTACCGAGACTGGAGGGTTTGACTAATAAGGAGAGGCTGGATACATGGGGACTATTTTCCCTGGAGCATAGGAAGCTGAGGGGTGACAACATAAAGGTTCATAAAGTCATGAGCTGCATTGATAATACAAATAGCCACGTTTTTTTCCTGGAGTCCAAAACTAGAAGGCATAGGTTTAAGGTGAGAGGGGAAAGATTTGAAAGGAATCTAGGGGCAATTCCTTCCACACACACAGAGGGTGCTGCATACATGAAATGAGCTGCCACAGGAAGCGGTAGAAGCAAAATTTACAATATTTAAAACACATTTGGAAAGGTCCATGGATAGGAAAGTTTTAAAGGGATATGGGCCAAATGCAAACAAATGGAAATAGTTCACTTCAGGAAATCTGGTTGGCATGGATGAGTTGGGCTGAAGAATTTGTTTCCATGCTGCATGACTCTATGATGACAAGACTCTAAACTCACAGCCCAGGATAGATGTCATCCTCAAAATGAGGAACAACCTGCAAGTACATCATCTACACCATCTAAATGCAGCAGTTCAAGAAGGTGGCTCACCACCCTTTCACAAGGTCAGTTCAGATGGGCAACATCTCCTGTCCAGCCAGCGATGCCCAGATCTCATAGATGAAACAAGTGAATTAGAATGTCACCAAAGCCAGCAAGTGAATGAAACAAACATCAACCTGCAGAGGTAATGGTGCATACACTGGGTATTATCACACTCAACTTTATTCTACCAATTAAGAGTTGATATTAAGTTTCTGATTTAATTGGACTTACGTTTTTTAACAACACGGTTTAGGATATTCCTCAGTTCCGATGCAGAGATCTGCATGTCCTACAATGAACAAAATAAAACACTTACACTTTGTTACAGACTTAACCCCAGAGTTTGTCCTTCATCCACCATAACCTGGCAGCATTTGTTGCTACTCGAAAACAATAATAAACTTTCCTCTAGACCTGTTAAAGTCATGAAAAACAATAATTTGACAACATTTGCCAACCTTGGCAGAAATATATAATAATTCTATCAAGGTACTGACAGCAATAGTACCTCAACCAGGGTCATCAACTGATGCCAGGAGTAACTGTTGATTCCTGAAACCCCATTAAAATTATGACATTAGTTCATATTGCCTTTCCACCTTATTCCTACCAAATCCAACACTTCACGTCTTTACATTACATTTCATTAAGTGTGCCTCTGCCTATTTCACCAATCTATATCCTCCTGAACTCTTTCACTACTTACAACATTTCTGTCTGTCATCTGCAAACTTAGATTCATGTGTCACTAACTTATATCACAGAACTCGATCATGTTGGTAAAATATGAATTGTCTTTTTAACAAATCTTGGCTGGATGGTATTTGTCAACACAAAACTTTCCAAGCGATAATTAATTTTATCTTGTAAATTTTGTCTTTAAACTTTCCCCATCAATGACATTAGGTTGATTATTCTATGGTCGCCAACTTTAACCCTCTCCTCTTTTCTGAAAAGGGGTGTAACATCTGAAGTCCCAGGTCTCTGGCACCACTTCCATTTTGGGAATAGGTTTCTGACCCCAACCTCACTGGGAAGGAAGTGTTAATAGCAGCCAGTAATACTTACACCTCCAGAAATCTGTTCAAAAATACAGCGGAACTGGAGGTCTTCCTCACTCTCCTCCTGAGCTGTTGTTGACACAGTCTGACAATGGAGAGAAATTTAATCAAAAATTAAAAATAAATTGCTGATGTACAAAGCATCAATAACGGGTCTCTCAGCAGCTCAGAAAAGACATTTGCACCAAAAGCCAATTGCGATAAGTGTAAAAAAATTCAAAGCCAATGTCAGGCCTCTGACAGCAAATAGCGTGAGAGGCCTGCAGTGTGCCCTGTTGACAAGCCCATAATGGCTGGTTATTCAAAAGGCCTCTGATGGTCCAATCTGGTAAATGCTGATAGTCAGCATGCCAACAGGTAACCCCACAGAAGACCACTGACAGTTCTATTCAATAGTTCTTGCATTGCACTAGTTTTAAGCAGTCAAAAGCACATTTATAATCTGACAGAAAACATTATTTGTATTATAAGGTTAATATTCCAGACCAACCAAAACATTTGCTTACTTTAGATGTTCATGTTTTGCCTTTTTAATTGCACCATCTACAAAAATCCAGGCAATGCTGCAGATCAGCTTCAAATCATCATGCGCCTGCACACTGATAATTTTCTTTTTGCAAACTGAAGTATACACAAGCATGTAGCCTCTTTCCCAACATGCACAAGCAGAACTGTTTGAGCTGTACTGTCTGAAAGTGACCATTTATTCATTGCAATCCACCTCTTCAGCACTAACTGAAGATTACTATTTGTGTTTCTATTCATTTCTGACTGATAAATTCATAAGAAAGGATTGAAGGACACACAATCAATTCTATATAAGGAAATATTCCATTAAAAATTCCCTTTAACAAATGTGCCTCATATTCAGGAGCTGATAATGAAAGATTCTGGCAAAAGCTCTTGATTTTTAAAAATCTAATGTCAGATGTGAATGCATCCTATCAGAAGTCAGGTTCTGTTGGTCAGATTGTGTGTGTGTGTGTATGTGTGTGTGTCTTTTCTAGAATTCAGCTTTGTTGCTGTGACTGTCTCTGTAGGAGTCAGGTCCTGTGGCGAGGCTGTCTAGCTCTAGGGGATCAAATCTCCTTGATGTGGTACTTTTCCCCTAGGAGTGAGGTCCTATTGGTTATTCCCTCTCTCTCCAGCAGTCAGGTTCTGTTGGTGAGACTGTCACTAACTGGGAATGAGTTCCTGTTGGTGAGACTATCTAACTAGGAATAGGTTCCTGCTGGTGAGACTGTCTCTATCTAGGAATGAGATCCTGTTGCTGAGACTGTCTCTATCTAAGAATGAGATCCTGTTGGTGAGACTGTCTCCATCTAGGAATGAGATCCTGTTGGTGAGACTGCCTGTATCTAGGAATGAGGTCCTGCTAGTGAGACTACTCTCTTCAAATCAGGTCCCACTGGTTTAACTGTCCCTCCCTAAGAGACTAACCTGGTGAGATGAATTAATTCCCAGCCCTGTTTTCTTCTCATATGTCAAGCATTGTCTAGCTCTCTTCCAGTTGTTCATTCCCAGATGCATTTGGAAATCACCATATTATGCTGGACCATAATTTCTATCCTTAAAGGAAGCTCAGAGATATGATATTGCCCTGGTGCTCCTCAACTCTGTCATACCCCAGCACTTTCCCACTTAGTGTGACAGGATTTTTAGTGTAAGTGTCTCTCTACTATTTAAAGTCCCTTGTGAATGGCAAAGAGCAGTGCATAGCATATTTCATTGTACTCCATGCCATGCTAGTACATGGGAAAACCTTGATCTTTTTCCTGTCTTCTGTTTTTTTCTCCTTCTCCGTCTTCGAGTCTACAGTGTCCTTAGTTCTATCAGAAACAAAGATGATTGGCTAGAGGAAAGAAGGAGTGGTTAGATATGATGAAATGGAGAATGCTGGAAACGCAGTATTGTTTTAACAGTGCCATGAGGTACAATGACTCGAGTTCCAGTCAATTGCTTCAGTTGATTTAGCAGAATGAACAGGTGACTCATAAGAGCAGGAAAATACCCTTGTTAATCGACCTACACTGAGCTGACTGGTCTCAACCAGGCAGTTCTGGAGTTGATCATCACTGGCTTAAAGGAGGGGAAAATTGACAACCTCTGACAACAATCACCATTCAAATTCACTTTGGGGAGGTAGTGAAAGGCACATGATAACTGCAGGACCTGAACCACAGAAGAAAGGATCAAGTACAGAAGGGAAGAAAAGTGGCAGAAAAAAATTAACGGAAAGAAACATACCCATTTAAGAAAAATGACCATTTTTCAGGTGAGGAAGAGCTTTCTTTGAGGTGGCAGAAAGGCTGAACATTTTCAGAGTTTTCACTCCTCTTTCCTCTCTATATTAAGTCACAGTGCCTCTCCTTCCTAGGTAAGAAACTATGTTCCAGCAATTCCTTAGCTTCATGATTTATAGGACCAATAGGAAGCTGCTTTCAGGAAATCAACATTTGCCTCCAAAGCAGAGATTAAGTGTGTTCCATGAGGAGGGAGGCATTATAAATGAGGTTTCCTAAAGATGTGCATGCTATAAAACAAAGGCATTTACAAGCATGCACTGCAATCAGGAAACTTCAGCCACTTCCTGAACTATGCTGATATTAGGTCCTTAGCATAGTTAACATGAATGTTAACATTCAGCTGAATATTTATTTACTAGCTCTGATCGCCTCATAATCGGGTCTCCTTAATGACTACAAGATCATACCTGTTAACCTGTATTTCTGCTGTTACTTCATTTATTTTTTTCCCTGATACTGTGTGCATTGAAGTAAAGAGCAATTAAGTTTGTCTTTTTAATATTTATCCCCCTTTTGATGCTATTTACTACTGTTTTCTGTGTTTATACACGCTATCTCTTTCAGTCCCACATTGGATATCATTATCCAAATGGTTGCCCTGTAATGCTGCCATATCCTGTTGATTTGTAAGCCCACATTTTTCTCTCTCAAACCCTTCTCCCTCTAATTAATTACCCTCTCTACAACCCTAGTTATTCAATTCACTAGGACACTGCCAGCACAATTCAAATGAAGCCCATCTGACCAGAACAGCTCCATTCTACTCCTGTACTGCTGCCAGTGCCCCATTAACTGAAAGCCATTGCACCCATACTAACCTTTGCGGCACATATTTAATTCCTTGGCTTTATTTACCCTTTGCCAGTTTGCCCATGGCTCAGATTGAAATCCAGAGTTTACTACCCTGGAGGTTCTGCTTTTTAATCCTTTCAGTTGTTTCAGCGGCGGGAGTCCGGGAGGAAGCGCGAGGGCAGCCTGGGAAGGT